TCTGTCTTACTGTATGGCTGTGAAAATTGGACAATGGACTCTGAAATAGAAAAAAGAATAGATGCCTTTGAGATGTATACAGTGTGGCCCATTTAGATTGGAAACACCTCTATAAAATTTGAAGTTGTTAACCGATTTTAACCCAAATTTTTGTTTAATGTCATGTAATAAAAGATCTATTGCGGAACAAAATATGAAATATTTAGTTAAATTTTCAGGTCGTTCTACGATACTTTTTCTTCGTCGCAAATGGAGAATTTGTATTATCGATTTTTTTATTAAAAAAATTTCTACGCCATTTGATTTAGAGTGGCTTCAAATAGCTATGACGTTATGATAACTTAAAATTTTAAAACTCACTAAGCTAAGAGTCAAAAAAGAACACCCTGTATCAACAGATAACCATAAAACTAATTATTTTTCAAATAATTTTAATAATAAATCACTTCTTCTTACGGTGCCTTATCCTTAAGGACGTTGGCCATTACATTTGCCCATTTAATCTTATTTGTAGCAGCCCTGAATAGTTCTATGGAGGTCATGTTCGTCCATTGCCGTAGGTTTTTAAGCCAAGAGTTGCGTCTTCTTCCTGGTCCTCTTTTGCTATTGACCTTGCCTTTGATTATAAGTTGGAGCAGTTCATACTTTTGATTTCTTATGATGTGACCAAAATATTGTGTTTTCCGTTCTTTTATTATAAGCATAAGCTCTCTTTCCTTATTCATCCTCCGCAAGACTTCCGCATTGGTCGTATGGCTCATGTAGGATATTCTGAGCATTCTACGGTAACACCAGAGTTCGAATGCTTGGATTCTTTTTTGTGTTGCTTCTGTCATTGTCCAGGCTTCAACACCATAGAGCAAGGTGGAGAAAACATAGCACTTAAGTATTCTAAATCTTAATGAGATGCCCAGCTGGCGGTTGCATAGAACTTTTTGCATTTTGTAAAACATTGTACGTGCCTTTTCCAGGCGTATTCTTATCTCTAGTGAGTGGTCCCAAGTTTCATCAAAATTACTTCCAAGGTATGTTGTTCTTGTTACTCTTTCCAGATCTGTTCCGTCGACATTGACCTTCACCCTTCTGTTTTGGTGCTTGCTGATGACCATCATTTTTGTCTTCTTTGTATTCAATTTCATTCCAAATTCTCTACAGGCTGTCGTTACTCGGTCCATTAAGCGTTGCAGGGCTTCAGCATTATCTACCAGTATGACAGTGTCATCAGCATATCGCAGGTTATTTATACATTGCCCGTTTATAATTATACCATCCGTGGTGCCTTCCAAAGCTTTCTGAAATATCTTCTCAGAGTAAACATTGAACAGCAAAGGTGATAGGACACATCCCTGTCTTACTCCCTTCTCGATATTGATTTTTCCAGATGTTTCGCTTTTTATTCTGATTTTAGCCTTTTGTTCTTGGTAGAGGTTTGAAATGATTCTTAAGTCTTTATCGTCGATATTACATGACCTTAAAATATCTATTAGTTTATCATGTTTCAGCAGGTCAAACGCCTTCTGAAAGTCTATAAAGCACAAGTATACATCAGAATCGACATCTCTACATCTTTCATCTAGCACACGTATTGAAAAAAGTGCTTCTCCTGTTCCGAACCCATTCTTAAAACCAAACTGAGTTTGACCAGTGTGTTCGTCTAGTTTATGGTATACTCTATTGTGTATTAGTACTCGTAAGAAAAGCTTCAACTGATTCATCAGCTAATAATCCTATGGTCTTCACATTTCTTGGAGTTTCTCTTCTTTGGTAGTGGTATAAACACCGATGTCAGCCAATCATTTGATATTATGCCTGTTTCGTATATTTTGTTAAATATATCTTCCATTACTTCGATGTGTTCGTCTAGTAATATCTTTATTATTTCAATTGGGATATTATCTTCCCCAACAGCTTTTCCGTTCTTTATCTGATTTGCCGCTTTGATAATTTCTTGCTTTGTGATATAAGGTCCAGTCGATGCCTCCTGCATGTAAATGTTCGTCCTCTCTCGGTCTTGAAACATCTCTTCCACGTATTCTCTCCATCTACCTATTTGATCTTCTATGTTCAGTAGCGGGTTCCCATGTTTATCTTCGATGAAAGATGTAGGAGTTTGTTTAAATATTCCAGCGGCTTCTTTTACTTTTTTATGTAGATTGAAAGTATCATGTCTTTGTTCCAACTCTTCAATTTCTTGGCATCTTTCACTTGTTGGATATTTATTCTGATATTCTTGTGTATTTGCTTGTATGTTGTTTCATTTTTACCTCTGTATTTTCTTCTTTCGTCCATCATGTTTAGAATTTCTTCTGTCATCCATGGTTTGTTCTTTTTTCGTGTATCTTGTTTGAGGTAGTCTTCTGTTACTCTTGTAAGTTTTTTCTCAATATAGGGCCATTCTTCACATTTCTTGGAGTTTCTCTTCTGAAAGAATCGAAAAAGAAACATCTGAAGAAATGGAAATAAAGAGAGGAGTCAGGCAAGGCTGCATTCTATCACCTCTATTATTTAACGCCTATTCTGAAGAGGTAATTCGAGAAACTCTGGAAGATGAAACAGTCGGCATAAGAGTAAATGGAGTCTTAATTAACAACATCAGATATGCAGATGATACAGTAATAATAGCCGATAGTTTACAAGACCTGGAAAGACTCATGAACAAAATAGTCATGTGTAGTAGGGAGTACGGACTCTCTCTTAATGTCAAAAAGACGAAGTTTATGAAAATTTGTAAAAACAACTATAATACTAACGAAATCTTGATAGTAGAGGGCCAGCAGATCGAAAGAATAAAAAAGTACACTTACCTAGGAACACTTATAACAGAAAATAATGACTACACGGCAGAAATCAAAGTCAGAATCGAAAAAGCACATTCTAATTTTATAAAAATGAAAAAGGTCCTATGTGGCAAAGATCTAACATTAGCTCTTAAAGTACGCCTAACAAAATGTTACGTATACAGTGTACTATATTATGGAGTGGAATCATGGACGTTAAATCTAGATACCATGAGACGACTTAACGCCTTTGAGATGTGGACCTATAGAAGAATTATGAGGGTTTCCTGGGTAGATAGAGTTACAAACAATGAAATACTGAGAAGAATAGGCAAAGAGAAGGAAATTGAACTTACAATTAAAGAAAGAAAGCTACAGTATCTCGGACATGTGATGCGGGGCGATAAGTATGGCATCCTGCGACTCATAATGCAAGGAAAAATAGATGGCAGAAGAAGCATCGGAAGAAGACGAATTTCATGGCTGAAGAACCTGAGAGAATGGTTTGGATGCAGCTCAAAACAACTATTTAGAGCTACTGCCTCAAAAATTAAGATAGCTATGATGATTGCCAACCTCCGTAGCGGAGATGGCACCTGAAGAAGAAGAAGTGCCATTCTTCCTCGGGAGTTCGTGTCGATTGTACTGTTCTGTTACTCAAGTGTATGTATTTCTTCCCGTATTTTATTACTAGTGGAAATAAATCACTACTAGACAAAAAAATGTTTAAAATAGCATAAAAATTTAATGCAAGTAACGCACTTACAGAGAACTGCTAAAGACTGTTAAACATCGAAAAATGTCTTATCTGGGGCATATAGTAAGGGGAAGTCGATATAAAATTTTACAACTGATCCTTAAAGGCAAAATAGAGGGCCGTAGAGGTATAGGAAGAAAACAAGTTTCTTGGTTAAAAAACATTCGTGAATGGACTCAGATACCAAATGTAGGACAATTATTCCATATTGTAGAAGATCGAGAAGCCTTCGCAATGGTGATCGCCAACGTCGGATAGTTCTGATATGGCACGCGAAGAAGAAGAACGCACTTACATTATTATTAACTTAAATCTCAGTTGCCATGACAACGATATTACTGTTTGATATTATTTGTGTCGTACAAATTTCAGTGCTAGCATAAATGTATGCATAATATCTTTAACAATATTTACTTCAAATTCTTTTAATAATACTTTGTGTCATGGCTGCAAGATTAAGTTTGAGAGAAAAAATTGAAATAATACGTCTTATGGGAGCGAACGCTAAAAGTGCCAGGGAAGTTTGTACAATATTTAATGACAGACATTTTTCCCAAGACTCTGCTATACTCTTAAAGAATACTAACAGTAAAAAGGGGGACTATTATTAAGAAGAAGTTAGAGCGAGAACGTTGGGGTGAACAGGGTCATTTATTTCTCCTGTAAGAACATTTTATTCGAGCGAGAATCTTTCAAGATCAGAGCGATAAACTGAATACACCATATAAAATTTCCAATATTTTGTAAGCCGCGTTCAATACGGGAAATCACATTTTTTCAATTCACTTTCCATAAATAATTTTTAACCTTAAGCCTCTCTGATTTGGGTGTTCACTGACATCGTAAAATCTCTTTATTCATTCTTTTAGCTAAAAATAGCTTAGATACTATCTAAAATCACTGTAAACACGATGTTCTATTCATGTACTCGCGCTGGTGCAGGAAGTGGCTTTTAAAAAATGTTCGAAAGTCACTCGTTTTTTATTGTAACATCAAAGTCATGAAATTGGAATACCAGAACTCTCAAATAAAGATTAAATAGGCAAAATTGTCTTTTAAATACTAAAAAATGTGTTTTGTCAACAGTTTGTAATATTCCTCAGAGTTTTGATATGTTAGGTCCGAATAAATTGATTGATGCGATAATCAACGCAGTATAATAATTATTCAGCAATTCAGTGCTAGGAAAAAACTCCCCCTTTCAGTTTCAACAACACAATAATATCCCTTTTAAATTTATTTTAAATTTTTTTGTTACATTTTACCCAGTTTATACTTCGAAAACATAATTATGGATAATATAAATTATACAAAACATTTCTAATTCTGTTTAGTGCTTACAATTTCAAAGCCAAAACATATAATAAACATTAATTTATTTTAGTTTCTGTCTCACCAACTGCTAGGTCAAAATATAGGCCAAGCTTTTTAACTCATAAAACTATAAATGAAGTCATTTATTGTTAATGACTGAAACATTTGAAATTTATGAGGTATGTGCAAAAAAATACTTAGATTTTTTAGTAAATTTGCGCTAAATATAAAATGAGTTCCTAACTTTCAAGTACTGTAACCCATTATAGGCCAGCGTCACATTTATGGATCACTGAAAATTTTATTTTTTTTAACCCTTAAAATTTATTTAAATTTTAAGAAAAATTTTCCGTGTGTGAAGTATTTCAGTATTCAGTGGATTATGATTCTGTGTACAAATCGTTGTATTTTTTTTTAATTTAACTTTATAAATTTGTTTATTGCGATTTTCATAAAAAGTTTTATATTTTGTCATATCTTGGAGAAATTATTCCACAGTAACTAATATTATTTTGGATAATAAATATAAAAATAAAATAAATGAAATTCCTTATGCCTATTCCACTGCGACCTTCTTAGATCTATCGTGGTCCTCTAGTCCTAGTTATCATTCTCTAGCCTGACCCCTTTTAAAAAGTCTACTAGCTTCGAGACTGTACCTTCCATGTAGCTATTTATAGGTGGATTTTCTTCTCCTAATGCAAAGAAGTGCACATTTGCCAGACTGTCACACTGACATAGAATGTGCTCTGCTGTTTCGTCTTCGAGGTGACCGAATCTGCACAGGTCATCATCTGATAATCCCATCAGCTACAAGTGCCTATTCAGCTTACAATCCCTTGTTAGAAGACCTACTATGGCTTTGACTGTTTTCCTGTCTTTGCTTATTAGGTCTGCCGTAAATTTTGGCGAATGTTCTGTAATGAACTGTTTTGCCTGTCTTTCTCCTGGTGAATTCCTCCATCATTAAAGAAATTTGTTAGCTACACTTTCTTGTAGCCGTTCTTGTCTTTGCAACGCCTCAGAAGAGTTCCGGTCCAATGAATGGCATTGATGAGCCTTGTTTGGCCATTTCATCTGCTTTTTCATTGCCCTTATGTTCCTCGTGCCCCGATACCCAGGCCTCCGTAACCTTGCTACGGTCTCCTAGCAGTACCAGGTAGCAGCAGCAGCTTATATGGATACAACCATATTGCACTCTCGATCTTCTTTAAGTGCCATTCGAGGCAGTTGCTCTGAACAATTGCCTTGAGCTGCTACCAAACCACTCTCTCAGGTTCTTCACACAGGAAACGCGTCTTCTTCCTACGCTTCTCCTACCCTCTATTTTTCCTTGAATTATGAGTCTCAAGATGTTGAATCTTTCGCCTTCATACATGTTCGTGATATTGCAATTTCCTTTCTTTTATTGTATTGTCTCTTCCCTCTCTTGCCTATTCTCCTTAACACTTCTGCATTCGTGACTCTATCTACCCATGGAATCCTTAACAATCTTCTAGATGTCCACATTTCAAACGCGTTAAGTTGATTTATACAAAGGAGCAAGTACAAGAAGTACGATACAATTTGAAAAGTTTACACCAAGAAAGTGTTAGAAACCTATATAAACGTAGACTGGAACAAAAACTAATTGAAACGGAAGATAATACCAGGAATGTTAATCAGTTATACAAAACCATCAAAGAATGTATACACGCCGCTGCCCTAGAAGCACTAGGGCGATATGAAAAGATCGGACAACAAAAACCATATTGGTGGGATCAGGATATTTCGCAGGAAATAACACAGAAAAGAAAATTGTATCAAAAATATCTGAACACAAGAAATGTGGAAGACAGAATCGAATACAAAAGAATGCAAGCGATGATCAGAAGAAAAATATGCCAAAAGAAAAATGAATCCTGGGAAAAAAGTGCACCATGCTAAATACATATATTGGTGGAAACCAAAGTTCAGAAAGCTGGAAAGTGTTAAAAAATTTAAAAAACAACAGAAAAAGAGATATTATCCGGTCCATATCACCGCAAACTTGGGAAGAATACTTTAAAGATTTACTAACAGAGACAAGAGAGCTCTTCAAACAGCTAGAGAACTATGGTCTACAAGGCGTCAGGCTGATAGGATCACCAATTAGAATAAATGAAAGAGAAGTCGAAATCGTATGCAGACATCTAAAGAATGGTAAATCACCTAGCCCAGGAAATGTAGCTCCAGAACTCATCAAACATGGACCCAAAATACTAATTCAACGGCTACGACAACTTTTCCAGGAATGTATAAATAAACATGAAATACCTGAGGAATGGAAAGAATCACATATGAGCACCATCCATAAAAAGGAGATAAAACGAAACCTGAAAACTATACATGAATTGCAGTTACTAGTAGTATTAGCAGAATATATGGGAAAATAATAAAAAATCGAATAGAAGAAGAAGTCCACTTGACGTTCGTAGACCTTAGGAAAGCATATGATAGTGTCCCGCTTGATAAATTATGGGAGGCACTGGGGAAAACAAATATAAATATAGAATTGATTGAAGCGGTAAAAACGTTGTACTACCAACAAACAACCAGAATTAAAACATGAAATCTGATAACAACGGGATTCAAAGTGACTAAAGGACTAAGACAAGGATGCTGTATATCCCCAAAATTATTCAAAATATACCTCAAAGCAACACTCAACAAATGGAAGAAAAAATGTACGAATATGCACATACCACTAATGGACTTAACTTTGTACACTCTGTGCTTTGCGGATGACCAGGTCACCATCGCACAGGACTCTGAAGACCTTAGTTACATGATGCGAAAACTACACTGCACCCCAAAATTAACGCATAATTTTAAAAACCCTGGTAAATTAAATAATTTTAATGTTTCGATTTTTGTGCTAATATATTATCGTTACCCCCGGTATATTGTAAAATTTATCGAAAGAACGGTAAAAAACGCTGATGTTTTTATCATTTTTTTTGCAAAAAATTAAAAACATGTTAAATTGTGCTTCATTTTATTTCGAATTTAGTTGGGTTGGATTTCGTTGTGCTGAACGTTTTAAAGGGGTTTTTCAACTTTATAAGTGTTTTTTCTTTGAAATGAACCACCCGCAGCAAGAAAATCGAAATTTGTCAGAAAGTGACTGTTTTAGAATCATTACTCTTCGCGAAGAAGGATACACTCAAGTAGAACTCGCTGAACGTTTTAACGTCACCCAGTCAACAATTTCAAGAGTGTTAACACGTTTTTCTGTTACTGGAAGTAACTCGAGAAGACCCGGTCAAGGCCGTAAAAGGGTTACAACTCCTAATCAAGATCGGTTTTTGACACTTCGTACACTGAGACAAAGGTTTGTTTCCAGTACTTCTCTACAAAATGAATTTTTGGATCGTTATAACTTTAGAATCAGCCAAAATACAATTAGAAGAAGACTTGCCGAAAACGACCTACACCCTGGAAGGGCACCAATTGGCCCATTATTGACCAGAGACCATAGAAGGCAAAGATTGAATTTTGCTCGTGAACATGTTGATTGGAATAATGACTGTCTTTTTTCTGATGACAGGAGAAACCGAGTGTATAGAAGGCCTGGGGAACGCTACGCACAGTGTAACACCGTAGGAACTGTACAGTATGGCGGCGGCTCGGTAATGGTATGGGGTGGGATTAATTTAGAGGCTCGTACGGAATTAGTTAAAATAAATCACGGTCGGCTTACATCGCAGAGGTATATAACAGACATTTTAGAAGAGCAGTTCGTGCCATTTGTACCATTTATTGGGGATAATTTCATGCTTATGCAAGATAATGCCAGGCCACACACGGCAAGAATTGTGCAGCAGTATCGTCAGGAGGTTGGAATTCCTGCCATGGATTGGCCTGCGAGAAGTCCTGACCTTAACCCAATAGAACATGTTTGGGACATCATAGGCAGACGACTACGACAACTACCTAATGCACCAAACACATTAGATGAACTGTTTTTGCGGTTGGTTGAAATTTGGGATCAAATTGATCAAGAAGAAATCAGAACGATTATTGTCAGTATGAGAGATCGTTGTCAAGCAGTAATAAATGCCAGAGGAGGCAATACTCGATACTAGTACACGGTAGTAGTATTTTCTTCAACTTTAAAAACTTTTTCTTCATTAATTTATGATGTTAGTTTGTTTAGATCAGTTCGTTTAGATGTTATGATTTATGTTAGGATGTTTTATTGTTAATTTCAATACATTTTTTGTAAAAAAAAGAATAGTTTTATTTAAGATGTTCTAAAACAACCATAAAGCAGAAAAGAACAAACAAAATTTTTTTCATTAAAACTCAAAATAAGAATTTTAAAATTATGCGTTAATTTTTGAGCGCAGTGTATTAGCAAGAGTTTACAGATTGGGGTTTGGAAGTGAATATGGAAAAAACTGAGTATATGTGTATCGGAGGAGATCAATATAACCTTGTCTTAGAGGAAAATCAAGAGATCAAACTATGTGACGACTACAAATACTTAGGAGTGAATTAGATTCAGCCATTAACGAACGAAATACACAGGAAAGGAAAGGCATAGCCTTACTGAACAGCGTACTATAGGATAAAAACATATCTAAGGAAAATAAAAGAAGAATATACAACACCATAATGAAAAGTATCACAACATATGGATGCGAAGTGTGGCCCCTAAAAGACAGAACAGAGAAAATGCTTAGAGCAACAGAAATGGACTTCTGGCGCTGCTCGGCGGGAATCTCTAGACGCGACAGAATAACAAATGAGAGAGTCCGAGAAATCATGGGGGTTACACATAATATTGTTGATGACATCAAAACGACACAACTTAGATGGTATGGACACGTAAGGAGAATGCCGGAGAATAGAATACCAAGACAAATTCTTGAATGGCAACCAAGAGGTAGGCGGAGACCAGGAAGGCCTAGAAGAAGTTGGAGAGAAGGAGTTGATAAAGAAATTAGGAAAAGAGAACTGGAGGACGATCTATGGAACAATAGAATGAGATGGAGATTGGAAATCGGAAGACATCGAAGAACGCTATAAACCGACAAGTCGATTTATTGTATTCCGGTTTAATGTCCATGATTCAGCTCCATAGTAGAGAACACTGTGTACATAGCATTTAATTAGCCTTATTATGAGGGCCAATGGTACTCTCGATGTCGGTGTA